TATTAGTTAATTATCTTACACAGTCTCTATTCCACAGCCCGCGCATTGCCTCCCGGTCCCCATGAAAGGCTTTTGCACCCCCAAATATTTAGGTTAATGTAAATCGATTTGATGTGGTCAGGCTTTCTTGATTGCCTATTCCTACTCTAATAAACACTTTAACACGTAGGCTTTCGCGACCAATATCATCCATTTGGCATATCCTACATTTCACTGGTATAGCCAGTGTTAATCACCATTTTCATCGGCGCTATTCCTTCCACCATTTATGTGGGCTTAAGTTCCATAGGTTCAATCCCCATCACGCCCCAAAATTCCTGCCCATTCCCATGAGCGTCCTTTCAGTTATGCCCATTTCCGTTTTGCTCAAATGTTACTTCCCATTCCCCATGGAATTCCCGTGGAGAGCCTTGGGGCTTGCAAGGAATCCAACGTAATGTCACTCTCTAACACTGTCCTCACCACCAGGGACCGAGATGTTTTCAAAATAACACCAATCACTGTAAATAAAATACCATTTGCATATTTTTGCGTGGTTCCATTTTAGTGTTATCGATCTAGGGGCATAGAATATGGCACATAGATCATTGCAGGTAATCTGAACGAAACTCGTCAAATTAATATTCTCACTCTCGGGACCTTGTCTGTCCACTAAATCACAGATACTGTCAAAATCATTATCTTTATTTATCCTGGAGAAATCACGGATACTGTATTAGCTTCCAAGCATTTTAAATGAACGATAGATTAGTTAATTACATTTTTATTATTAAATAATTAAGTTTTGTTCTGCAGAGGTTCACATTATGTTAATCACAGCCAAACTAAATTTTATCGGGCAGCAGTAGTTTTAATTTTTAATTAAGCATTACTTCACATGCAAACATCTCGTACATTGTGTCATTTAACACACAAGCTGCTAATCTCGCTAAACCTATCGTGGTAAAGGGCCAATTGTAGCAACAAAGATGTTAAAATGTCTAAATGCTCTTCTTTTCCAAGGGCCGATACAATTACATCATGTGTTTCGCTATGTTGATGGCATTTAGTGGCAAAGATGGACTATGCTTTTGTGTCCTACTTAAACGCATGGTCTAAGAGGCTATTCACGTTTTTCTGTTCAGCCAGCAGCATTGACAATGCATTTGTAATTACTCCGGACTCGAACTTTAGAGGTTTCTTTTATTTCACGTAACGTAGTTTAGCACCCCGTCGTCATGAGATAATGCCGACGTGGAGATCGTATGACCGAGCAGACCGCGATGACTTGAAGACAGTGATGACGTGAAGACAGCGACGACGTGAAGATAGCTACGACGTGAAGACAGCGACGATGGCCCGAGTCCCTCTCCACAGACCCCGAACATCCCTTCTTGTTCTGCTTTTATCCTCGTGAATTCTCCGGGGGAATTTCCCGAGCTGTCTCTTTTGGACACTCTGGGGAATTTCCCAACCAAGGAACTCCAGACTTGCTGGCACCTTGTCTTTGCATCCAGCCTCGATTCACCTCGAGACTGACATAGTTTTTACATCACCCCCCCCCCCTTAAAACATTTAGCCGTCTCAGCTACTAATCACTTTTAGTGGAACCGTCCGTTAGGGCAGAACTGCAGTAATAAATTTTGTAATTGGACGTGCGACGATCACGAACTCAACAGGCAATTTTAAGGGTGAGTAGTGTGGACACCACTCACCCAGTAACAACAACAATAACACATTTAACAACAAAACATGCGCACGTGGCTCAAGGGGGGGATCTTGAATGTCCCTGGGTTGGTTTTGGGGCCTACTAGCGCATTCTTGTGCACCTTGAGCAGGTTCTCGATGCCGGTCCCTTGTATTTTGCAGAAGCTTGTGCCGTCCCTGGCATTAAGGGTTCGTTCAACTGCCTTGGGGGGGGGGGGGGGGTGGGCTTGACGAACTCAAGCGGGCTCCCGAGTCCGGTTCCTTTCATGATGACGGATTCTTGGGACACCCCGGGCTTTACAGGCACAACAACTTTCCTTTGGCGTGCAGTTTCCATTGAAAGCGCCCCGGCACATCGGACACACCAGACATCGGCCATACAGGACATGGGGATGAGCTGTCTGGGTGTGGTTGTGCATAAGGTTTGAGACGTGACAGGTGGATAAACCAGCGGTGACGCCCTGTCTGTATTTGTACACACTGCGGCTGTTTCAACTCTATGACCTCCACTGGACCTTGCCATCGGCGGTGCAACTTAGGGGACGTACCTGGCGGTACCTGTGGGCAATGTAACACCATTCCCTGTCCCCGACTGCCCATGCAAGCATGTGTTCCCGCCGCCTGGTGTTTTTTTCATTAGCGGCTTGCGCTCTGGTGGTGTTTTCCCTGGCTGCCTCCCGTGCCTCTGACACACGACTCAGCGTAACGTGCATTGGCCCGTAAATGGATGTTTTATTCTTCTTCCCTGAGCCTGTACTCAATTGAGTTGCTATGGTTGGTTAATTCTCCTGGCCATACATAAGAAAAAACGGGGAGAATCCTGTAGAGGCGTATGGGGCTATTCGATATGCTGCGAGAACTCCCGGAACATGCGAGTCCCAATCTGTTTGTGCCTTATTTACCACTTGGCAGAGCATAGATGTTAGAGTTCTGTGCAAGCATTCCACCATTCTAGATTTGAAGCTTTCGTGACTGCAAGGAATCATATTCTTAGGTTTTTTCGGTAAAGTCATGTAGGTAAAAATTAAAATTAATAAAAGTAAAATAAAATAAAAATAAAATAAAAATCGAGGATGGTATGGTGATGTTTTAATCTTTTTAGTGCCGAGTGCCTCACACACTTCGCGCAGCAGTTTGGATGAAAATTTTCGCCCCTGGTCAGTGAGAAGCTGGTCAGGGGCACCCTTGTCCAAAACGTAGCCATGGAGGAATGCCTCTGCGATGGATGCGGCTGTTTGGTCAGGCAGCGGCCAAGCCATAGGATAGCGGGTAAAATGTTCTAATCCAACCAATATAAGCTTGTTTCCCTTTTGTGTACACGGAAATTGTCCCGGGATGTCTAGTGCCACCATTTCATTGATTCGGGACACAGTGATGGATTGTAACGGGGGCTGAGATTTTTTCAATGGGGGCTTTCGGCGCGCACATTCCGTGCAACCCGCCACAATATGGTGGACATCATTTGACATCCCCGGCCAATGAAAGTCCTGTTGTAAGGTTAGGAGTGTTTTTCGGCCGAGGTGAAACAGCTTAATTTCGTGTACCACTCAAGTTAGTTTTTTTTTTCCCGCAGGGAAGTGGGGACCACTACGCACTGACGCTGTGAGACCTTGTCCCATCTCATCAACAACCCTTCTTAGGTGTGTGACGTCATTTATGGACGGCCCCTAAAGTACGTGGACAGGCGAAGATATAACTTTGGAAATCGCTCGTTTTTGTGCAACTAAGAAATAAAGAAACAGTTTGATTTAAGACACGTCAAACATGCATCAGACTTATTGCTCGCAAAGGTTAAGGCATAGCTTATTTTTTGGTACAAGAAAGCTGCGCCTACAGGCACCTGTGCCAATCTCATAACCACAATTTCGAGAAAACCTCCACCTAAGAGATGGCCTATCTCTCTTTACCTATCTCGCTCTCCTCCTCTGTGTGTACACTTTTCACTCACTGCCTTTGCTGTGGCTGTGAAACTCAAACTCAATCTCCACACTGTGGGAGATGGATGTCTCCTTTGATGCCCATAGTTGTCGGCACTGCTGATTCACTCCTCCCTCTTAAGTCCAGACCTGATACCTTGTCTTGTCTGCCATTGCCTAGGTAGATACTAATATCTCTATCGCCCCTTCAATCTCCATTAAAAGGGTCACCCCTCCCCGTCTTCCGCTAGTTGCATAAATTACAAATGTTGTGTCAATTACATATTACGGTACCATTCAACATCTGTATAGGGTTATGGTGGTTGACAGAAGCTGTGCACACTATGTCGCACCACTGCTCCGTCTGCCTCGTGCACTTGTTTTGATTGTATGATCTGTTTTACCTGAATTTTCTGGTTATACTTATGTTGCTTGTCCTGTACAGGGTTTGTAAGATGTTATATTTAGATACTATATTAATGCAAATGATTGTGGATGTGCATCACGCTACATAATCATAAAAGCTAAATTAGTCATCCTCAATATATATGGTAATACTAATATTTTAGTGAGTCTAAATCCCATTGTAATACCAAATTATCTTGTTTGTGTAATATGTATCTCATTAAACAAGAGCGTGTACTCTATACTATATTACATTGACTGAAGATATTCACATAAATTGGAGCCTAACTTTAAATCGTCCCTTTTTGATCAGATATAAGATGTGCACATTTAAACTAGTAGCTGTGAGCAAGCGATGGACATTCTACATTTTTATGGCGGAGGCTATGTCAATAGTACATTCATTATACTCACAAAGTTGAAGAGGTATGGTTAGTTAAACTTAGTTAAATACTTTGCACCAAGAGGCATATAAACACTTGCGAAACCAATGTGGCTTCATGCAGTGCTCTTAAAAATGATAAAATGTTGAAAGAGATCACTGTAAGGTCATGTTGCTATGTACGTGCATTTTACCGCATACAGAAATGTAAAACCTCAGTTCTAACCCACTTTCTTACCAATTAAACGTCAGTTATTTTGATCGTCACTGCTGAGGAAACGGACACTATAGGTTCAATAAAAAAAATCAAAGTTAACGACAGGCAATAGGTAAGTTGATGTTGAAGGCCCTGCCACGTGAATGTAGAATTTCCAAAGTTGACATTGGGCTACTAATGCAAAAGAGCACTACGCCACGTGTATTTTACCAGAAACAGATTGACTGGAAAGGGAGGCAGCACATGAAATAAACTCCGTACATTTTGTAAATTTAAAAAAAACAGCAAATCATTCGTTAAATGGTAGATCGTTTAATTAAGTTATAAGGACACTACCGACATTGATTTCAAATGATTGGATAACATTTAAAAATATAATTTAATCTGCAGCAAAACGTGTAATGCACCACTAACCAGTGCAAATTAAAAAAAGTTTAATTCATATGTAAATAAAAGGCGATATCAAAATAAAAATAATACGTAATTTAGTATGCGGGCTTGGTACATGATCTGTCTTAACGTATTCGCATTAATATACCTTTCATTCAACAGGTTTGTGTAATGATTAAACAATATTAAAAATATAAATTTTCAACAAAATTGCGACAGATTTTTTATTGTTGCATTAATGTCATGTATGTACATTTACGTCTTGCTAGTGAAATGTAGATGGTTTGCCATATTCAAAACGCCTTTGTACATTAACATAGGGAAACACATTTGCAATTGCAGCACGAGAAGAATATCGACATGATAATGGTACTTTTGAGCAATAAATAGCAAAAACACATGGACAAACATCAAGGGCTGTTGGAAAATCGTCACCAACTTAACAAACAGTACACACTGTATTTATCTATATATATCATTTGGATCACTGAAGCTCACTTATTGTACATCTATGTTAGTTGTTTTCCCTGCACCTCTAAAACATGGCCAGCAAAACGTTCAGATTTCCAAGACACCAACAGTCAAGTAAATATGGTGATGCGGGTCTATGCTCGCCTGTTCGCTGCTTGTTTATTAATGTGGGTATATTAATCATGCGAATACTTGTCGTCTGTTTCTAGTGGATGTTAAAAAAAATCCCCTGACGTAATTCAAAATGAGTAGGCCCTTTTGCGCTGGCGTCATGGTCCAAATTTGGTAAATTACCCACCAATTATTCAATTGCGATTACACATTGCAACATCGCCCCCTACTTGCAGACTACACCCATCCGTGAAATCTACTACCTTCGTGATGGACCACCTGTGCTCAGAACGGTGCAAATACCAAATGTTTTTAATTTATAATAATGATTACTAATAATGATTATTAGTTAGTATCATTATGTTTCATATATAATAGTTTGAATTACAGCCCTGGAATCTGTCCACGTATTTAATATAGGTTTTGAGCCATTTAGAGCTGCATATCTCAAGAGTAATATTCTTGATCCATAGCACTGCGCTTGCCAAAGTCCATCCAGCCGATGTAATCCCGGTCTGTGAGCCTGTGACCCACGTCGCGGGGAGGAACCCTCACTGGCACCAGCTGAGCCGCCCCTGTAAAGCAAAACACATGGCAAAAAAATAAGCTGGTTGGTGCGCGTGTACTTTCGGAGATAATTTAAACAATTGAAAAGTGCAACTCGTGTATTTGCGATATATTTCATGAGTGGGAATAAAAGCTCAGCATTATACTGGTAGGAACCACCTGGTTCCACCAGCCGACAGGGGATTATTGTGTCCGTCCGTCCGTCGTGCATCCAAAAATGGGAGGGGTGGGGCTGGGTGGAGAGGGGAGGGTGGGGAGGGGCTGGGTGGGGAGGGTGGGGCTGGTTGGGGGTGGGAAGGGTGGGGCTGGGTGGGAAGGGGCTGGTCACCCCGTGGTGCCCTTATAAAACTCAACGTTTAACCGACTCACGCCGGCTTGTGCCCGCCCTCACAGTCGGCCATATTTGCGGAATACACCACGCCGCCGTTGACCCTGGCCATTTACCGAGCAACCCAACGTTCCTACCAGCTCCCTCCGCAGGAATGTGTTATTTGGTTCCTTGTTGCTGCAGTAACCGAGATAAAGTATTAATTACGTGCATGTACTGTTTCGTGACACTGGATTCAATGTTCTCTTTGTTACATCACAGTGAACAAGTTAATTTCAATAATGACAAACATAATTACCCCGATACATAACATTTATGAGAATGATAACGCCACAATTTGATAAGGATTATGCTCACATCAGCATCCTTGCTGGAGGTAAATGATGTCTTGCTGCGGGTAGATAATGATGATGAAGCTAATAACCTTGTTACAAGTTGGTAATGATATTGATGACACCTTGCTGCAGGTATACACTACACTACTACACACTACACTACAATACATTATACACTACACCACTATACTAAATTTAAAACTAATGTCTTTAGAACTGTTTTTTTGTGTTTATTATATTCTTTGGTTCTTTCGGTAAAGTAACGTAGAAAAAAAAAGTGAATACAAAATGAAAATAAATGTGTTTATTATGTTGTCCTTCCCCTGCACCTCCCATTAGCACGGTACTATAGATGATGATGGTGGTGATGATGATGAGCAAGATCACCTTGCTGCAGGTAGGCACGCATGCGGTCACGCAGCAGACGGAACTGCGGGGAGTTGTCAGACTCCTGCAGAGGATCCTGGGCAGCCAGGCTCAGCGATCGTCGCAACGGCAGGAAGTGGCGCTCCCCAGTCTCCTCCGTCTCGTCCGCCAGGTGCCCGAGCGCACCGGGCACCTCGTCTCTCGCCAGCTCCGCGTGGAGCCTCTCGCGCTCCCTCGGAGCCCCCAAGCGGATCATGGGCAGCGCCAGGCAGCCAGAGATGCTCAGGGCAGCCAGCAGCAGCCAGCCCAGGTAGAGAGAGTTGCGCATGGCTGGGGATGGTGGTGGTGGTGGTCGAGTAGGTAGGTGTTAGTGATCGGTGATGGGGTGTGCCCCGTACGCAATTCTATACAGCACAGGCTGGTTCAGATTTCTTGTGACTCCAATTGAATTATCTGCAACGCAATATATTTATAAGGTTTATTTAAAACAGTAATGTATATGCAAAGAAATTTTTTTTGGGTCAATTAAGTAGGGTCACAAGATATCGAGACCACCCCGTACATCACATGGTTAGCACGTTTCGCTAACCGATTAGCATGGTTGGCTACGTACGGTGCGAAATCAGTTCAACATACATACATGATTGTGATAGATCAGGCAGGCTCATGATCATACTGTGAGTTTACATCCTGGGCACAGCTGACAGGGTGGTGCCACGTGCTTGTGGTCCAAAGACTTGGAGGTGGGTTTAAGAGATTTGCACCATAGCATGGGCCGGCAACCTGTGGCTCCGGAGCTGCGTTGTGGCTCTTTAAGGACTGCTCTGTGACGTTATACCTACTATAATCACCCAGGAATGTCTGTCCTTAATGCTTGTGGCGTCACTCCACATCGACAGCCCCCTCATTAATATTCATGAGCAGGTGACGTCACTCCCCATTGAACAGCCTCCCTCATTAATAATCATTATAAGATGACGTCCTCCAAATGGACACCCCCCACTCATTCATAATAATTAGCGGCTGACGTCACTCCACATGGGAGGTCGAGGCGCCTCCTCCCCCTCCTCTGCGTCAACTTAAAACCCTCACTACAAACGCAGAACTCTCACGTCACGCAATCTCCGTAACGCTATTGAGACATCAAAGTAAAAAGGACGTGATGATCAACAAGGGATTATAACCTTAAAATTAAATAAGTTTGTGTCACCAGCGCCCTTACAAATTGCACACGCATCTATGCAATGAATATCACGTCGCGGTCTGCTTTTCGCTTGAAAGTTTCAGATTTACTGCAATACACCCGTCCTTGGACGGACAAAAGGCTAGTGTAATAAGGACCACCATCTCGTATCCACATGCGTTGCGCATCTTGAAATAGTGAAGGTTTTTCTATTTTACCGAATTCGAAAAATGGCTCTTCTTGTTATTTTCGTTGCCGACCCCTGCACTATAGTGACCACAACATACAGTGACTCATGTATAATCTAATTGTTTTTCAAACATAAATTTATAAAATATTGCTGGCACATTGCATGGTCAGACAGCTTGTTCTTGTAAGAACGTTGAGTCCCCAAAGCAATCCATTCCTGGGTCGTGCGCACAATCACCGTTTCAATTAAAACATTTGAACTGTCCTACATTGCAGAGGCAGAGAAGTCTGATACGTATAATGGTGATGGGAAATAAAAGGGGACGACGACACATATGACGCTAAAATAAATAAGATGGCACGAAAAATGGATAAGGGTTGTCTAGCACTCAATAATAATGTTTGGAAAGGTCATTCTAAGTATTGTGGTCATTGTGACTCATAGTGAATACATTTTTTTATTGAAGGCCATTGCTAGATGTTTATTTTTTATATACGCTATTGAACGGATAATGATGGTGACATACAACCTTGAGTTTTTTTATTGGCGGCAAATAACAAGTTAATCGTTTTGTCCTAAGTAAAGCTAGCCAACAGATTCACCGACTTTTTTCATCTCAGGCACATCTATTGATTAGTTTATACCTACGTGACTTTACCGAAATAACCAAAGAGTAAAGAGGATAGGTTGATGAGATACCTTTATTGGCATATTGCTCTGGATTGTGAGCCTGCATGCGGCTCACAATCCAATGGTTGCGAGATCATATCATATTTCGGTCTCGATACAATCAGTACCACTCTGTGGGGAACTCGATAGTGGTTGTACTGTGGAAAGATTACTTTTACTGTTATTTTTATTTTTCCAGGTCCACTGAGGGATAAAGCTCTTTTTCAGAAGGCACCTGGCCACAAATGATAGCTCAACGAAGTTGTTTATCATCATGTGGACATTTATAGCAGTCAAATAATTTTAAACGCACGTTTCTAAATGTGGAGGGGAAAACCGGAGGACCCGGACAAAAAATCAAGCTCCAAATATACACGTGTCATGGTCAGGATCGAACCCACGACGTCCTTTATACCAGGCGAGGTAAACATCTCGCCACCGTGGTACCCAATTTGTGAATTTTCACCACTGGCTCAGCCCTTTAAATATGAGATGAGTGCTACCTCAATGCTCATTTGAACAATAAATCACTTTCAATATAGTATGGCTGCATGACTTGTTTGTTTTATTTGCTCAAATATTTTCCAATTGTGCTTTCAACATCAAGATATGAGGAAATTCCCATTTCAAAATTGTGTTGCGAGCAGTGGACCATGCCGTGTTAGAGAATTATCCCTGGGACATGATGTCACAGAACTACGTATGAAGGGTAACATTTTTTTAAAGCATTCAGCACCATTCATCTACAGCATGAAGTTAATCCATCCCTACTGCAAATGTCTAGGATTGCCAGTAAATACAATGCAGCTGCTGAGGCTGCAGACGAAATTAACGACTTGGAAATTACATTGGTAGTATTCACGGTGTCTGTATCAACATCGCATTGCTATGGAGCACTAATGGTATTGAGATACATGTTGTGTAATAACCAGACTGCAGGTTTAAATTAAGTCTATTAAACTAAAAATGTCATCAATACTAATATTGATTTTGTCCATCATTGAGAGGAAAGGAAGAATGTTTTTTGACTGATTGGTCTTCTTAAGTTTGGTAGACGAGCATTTAATAAAGTGTTCATTTTGATGAATTACTGTGTTGTATATGAAATACGTGTATTTAACATCAAGGTATGCACAGAAATGCACATTATATTTAAGGTGGCCAGGTATAGCTTATAGAAAAAAGTGCCAATCTGAAAGTCAAAAGTTGTTGCTTCAGTAAAGTAACATAATAAATACCACATTAATCTAAATACTGTAACAGTTTAGCTGATTTTCCTGCACAAGGCGCTTTAGCTTGATTCTCAATATTTTTTAGATACCGCTCACCACTGATGATAGCCGTGGCCAGGAATTGAAATCAGGTCACAAGGTTCATCTCGCAGTGTGATAATCACTGCGTCACCACTCCACCTCTATTTTGCGTAAATGTTAACCGTAATAATAATTACACTTATCCACGTTACATGAAAAAACTTGCTGCATCTCAAATTGTGTTAATCCAATGACAAACAATACAAGTGTAGTGACATAGCGCCGACTGCTGTCCGGCAGCGGCAACTGTGGTGGACAGTTAGCGCACACGCCGTCGAGCATATACACGGGTGTGTCGGCAGGGCGGAGGAACTGGGGCAAGGGTCACAGAAGACCTATTTGGGAAGCCCCTGGAACCCGCTAGCGGGTTCGAGAAGGGAGGCATGGCCAGGGCGGAGCCAGGCCGTGCCGAGCAGGATAAAAGCAGCGCAGAGCGAGAGCTCAGGGCTGCCGGTTCTGGGAGTGGACTCGTCTCGCCGTCGCTGTCGTCTACGCCGCCTTCGTCACTGCCGCATTCACTCGATAATTGCGTGGCCAAACAGTTGTTGGCTGTCTCGGTCGATGCCGTCGGTGTAACGCAGTTAGGGTTATGTCTTGGCTGGGCCATATGCCAACGCGAAGGAAGGAGGTGAGCCGGTGTGTGAACCTAAAGAGTGTTACAATAAAGAAGGTGCTTCCTGCAACTACCTCATCTCCGACTTGTACTACACTACACAAACACTGTGCAATACCTCTGCCAACGTCGATTTTATTTCACGTGTAAGCCTTGGTTGTTCATTGTGGCCATATTTGTGGACTGATGGGCTCAAGACTGAAGTTGTTGCGTCTCTCAATCAAATTATAAGCACCAATACAATTGTATTGGTGAAAATAGCAATGCAAACTGAAGCCGTGGTGAGTCTAGACCAGGGGTCAACAACCTGCGGCTCCAGAGCCACATGCGGCTATTTTCATGATGTTATTTATTAAGGACCACCACCTCGTATTCACCATGTACATTGCGGCTCTTTAAATATAGATTTTTTTTTTGGTGCCGAATTCGAACGAAAAATTGTTCTTCTTGTTATTTTGGCTATCGACCCCTGGTCAAGAGCAGAGTTTCTCAACCGTTGTTTTGGCCCCGGGACGCTGAGCCGATGCAACATTTCTGCGGACCACCCAGCTCCCCCACCGCCGCCCCCAACCCTGGTGAAAAAACGCATCCACTTCTATCTCTAGTTACCAGTTATACAAAAATATTAATATTACCGGAACGTAAAAAAAAATTACGCAGCTATAGTTTTTTTAGGGGTGGCATTTAGATCTGAGGGTTAGGGTAGTTTAATCATTGTATTTTGCCTAACTTTATTTTTTTTTTATTATCATGAGTAAAATATGAATTAATGTCCGAAACAGAAGGTTATTGTCATTATTTCCTGATCAACTTGCATTTGCATGAAAGCCCGCGGACCACCTGGAGGTCCATTGCGCACCACCGGTGGTCCAGGGCCCACACTTTCAGAACATCTCTGATAGACAGGCAACACAAGCACAAGTGCCCCCTTTCTGTGAGGCTCAACAACGGAAGCGGCGTTTAAGCAGCTTTGGTATACGTATTTCCCATTCTCTTTCATATTAAAAATAAATACGTTTCACCTGCAGTCTGACATACCTATGAAGTGAAATAAGCAGAATTCATAGGTAAAAACCGATATACACATAATTTATCCACATTAACCGTCCATAAATATATATTTGTTAAGTGTATTGTGAATAGTTTCATTACCTCTGCTTAGCGCGGTGTGAAAGACGTCTAACATACATACATTTGTGTACCGCATTGTTATAATGTTGTATTGCACTTGTGTTTCCTTTGTGCTGTATTTGTTTTAACCTACGGTCTCCCTTAAAAAGCAACTATTAGTCTGAGTAAGTGCTTACCTGGTTATAAATAAAGCTCGTTATCTTTAATATGTGAGAATAGGTTTTCCCCTTTTTCTGGCAACAAAGCAGGTGTTAAGATGTTAAAACGCAAAACTGAAACCTTTTACGAGGAATCATGTCTACATTAACCACAATACTTGTGGTCAGGATGCAAACAAAAAACATACTCTTACAATATATTCATTGTATTTTAAACTGATTGGTCCACACAAAAGGGGAAAACCTATTCTCATAATTTGGCATTGGTAAAGGAGGTCCCATGATATATTTAATATGTGTACACGTTTGCATGCGTGCATGCTGTAACTACAGGATGCAAAATATTCAAGACATCCTAAATTGGGCTAAACACAAATGCATCCATTATAGCTGAAATAGTGAGCTACCTAAAAAGGCTAAGTAGCTTGCATTAAAAACCGAGGAATAACCTCGAAAATGAAGATTACGATGGATAGGAATGACCAACAACATTATAAATGCACAATTTTAAGCTTAGCAGGGCCAAGCAATGCAAGCCTGAGAAGTTACCCTGACATGTAGCATTGCCATCCATGATTGAATCCGTTAAACAGCTCGAACCTCGCAGCACTTGTCTCAATTGTTTTCAGTAAATTGAGCCACTGCGTTGGTGGATATTGTTTTTGTAAGGCTGTAATCAGATAACCGGAAGAATGCAGGATCCGTAATGTTCAGGGTAAAGCGTTAACTACTTTCTGCCCAGATAAACTCGATAGTTAGGATCCGTCAAATATGGTCTTCCAGGGTTAGTTTTTAATTTGATATACTTTGGTTCAGGAGTAGAAATTATTTATTGTCTTAATATATACATATTTTATAATACCTCCAATAACTGTACATAGTGGATAAATTGTAAAAAACATAAAAGTTTGAGGACATGTTTTGTGTTCTGAGCGATATAGGTGTCAATGTGGTGTATTACAAATAAAGGTTCCTGACATTTTGATTTAAAGCACATGTACTCACATGGGACAGTATTTGACTTCTATACAGTCCATTGCATAAGCTACAAAGGTATCTCCATCTGAATGCTTACAGAATATAAATTGGATAATTACATTTAATTTTGACCACATTTAATTTTTAATCACAATATTTTAAAAAATATATCGTGTGTGGTGTTTGAATATTTTAGAGACCTTTAGTAATCTTTCTTATTCATAAATGAGAACGTGATTCTTTACACGAAGTAACAACTGCTGGAAGGAGGTGTGTTTGTTGCGATACCTGTCTTACCACAAATTGGTACATATTTTATTAACCCCAAATGGATGATGGTTCAGGTCAGTGCCTTTAATGTTTTTACTTTTTTGTGGAAATATATCCGTGAAATCCAAGACTAAAATAAAATTGTCTATTGGGAAATTTGATTTTGGATGCTCTCGCTTAAACAAAATAGGTAGTTTTAAATTGCTTTGCAGTCTCTAATTAAAATATAAATGCCCCACTATATATATCCATAATGCCAACATTGTTAACGTGCATATTGTGCAAAAAGTTAAATATTCCTATCTGCACAAGTGATATTCTATCATGAATGCTATAATGAAAGTGCTTGTGTACGGAGGGAAAACAGACTGTTTCACATCCTAGTGGCTAATTAATATGCATTAATCTTAAATAAACGAGTGGATATGCTGTTACCACGTCTTAACACAATACGCGTGAGCGGTGAACATCAAGGTTAAAATGTGTTCGACCTTTTAGAATAGGCATTCCGATGAATGTGCGTAAATGTAATCTACTTTTACATAATATTGTTGTATATTTATCCTGGCAAAATTACAGTATATATAATTGTAAATGTGTGTAAGTGGTTGTGCATCACAGATTATAATAATTTGTTCATTTGCAATTGACGTAACTGAAAAATGTGTCTGTGTGTGTGTGGTGTGAAGTCATACAATCTTTATACAAGATAAAAGGCATATCAAGGATATTTATATTCTGCGTGATTATATTCATAGCACAGCTTGGTTTAATGAAAAGTAAAAATGTCTGCATTTATTACAGAGATGGCTATCAAGGGCAGCACAGCGGTTAGCATCTCATATACACGCGACCCCAGTGCACACAGCGAAAGTAATGCAATCGGAATCTTACAGCGATGGAGGTTAAAAACTGAGCCCAAGTGGAAATATATATCTCGCTGCTCAAGTGAGCAATAGGGTAACCCACAATTGCTCGCTATTTAAACTAATATTATGTTATACGAAGAAATAACCAAGGTGTATCAAATGAAATAAAATACACTTTTCAAATGCAGGCTCTGTTCGAGTAGGGCAGCAAGAACTTTAGGATAAATATTTCAGTCCAATTTAAAAAAAATAGGAATTGCATTAAACTAACTCAGCAAGGCAAATTATGCGTACAGACATCAATGCATTTAGTAGCACCAGCGACGGCTTACCTCGTCTGGGGCTCACTCTTGCCAAGTCCTGGATTCAGACAGGTTTTTCGCTGTCAGCCACTCGCCTGCACTACTCCTGTGGCACAAGCGGTTTATATAGTCGATCATCATTGGGACGGGGTGGGTGGGTCGGTGGATGGGTGCGGTATCGCCAGATTGTCCCCTGCGTCTGCAAGTCAGTGTTGAGGATGCAAGGGGCAGGGTGTGAGGGGGTGGGGGTCACCTTTTTAGTGATTGTGTACGTGTCTGTGTACAGGATGTAGGCTAAGGCTGATGTGCGTGGGCATTGAGAGCTCCGATACGGGTGGGAGTTAAAAAAAATGGAAAACGTGTGTCATTGCTGATGAAGCCAGAATTCGGCTGAAATTCTGAGGCGCATACGGAGGAGGCAAAATACACACTTGTCAATGCTTTCAACTAACGGTGTAGATGTTTAGGTTCTTGATGCTGAGGAAAGCGACTGAGAGTTCGATATTTAGCTCTTTTTAACAAGCCCTGCAGCCTCAATCGCAACGTAAGACAGTTGGTTCAGCGTGGAGAGATACCCGAGTCAAACATTTTTTTATCACCAATTAGTTCCCATGAATGACTATTATGTTGTTGAATATGCTGCAATGTGTAATTACATATGTCTGTTTATAACGTGAGAGTAAAGTTTCGGTGTGGTAGTCATAGAAACGATATTTCGTATTTAAGATAACACACACGCATAATTAATTTGGTTCTACCGCTATCCATTCATGTCCATTCACTTTCCCCGGTCAGCACTCAGGCAGCAGCAGCAGCAACCTTTTGGCCAGTTGCCGCCTGACCCGCTCTAACTGGCTGGGCGAGGTACGGGATCATGGGGTCAAGTCTCGGGGCTATTGCACGAGATTCAATATGAGAGCGGTGGGGTCTGAAAGTCTTCCACAAAGGCAGAAGTGAAGTGATGGTTGGTGTGGTTGCCCTGCGAGCATTCACCGCTGAAATACAATTTGCAGGTTCCTACACTAATATAAGCGGTATCAATCACGCATTACTTGTAAAAGTGAAGACACATTTGGCAATGCTGCAGTAAGACAATAGTAATACTCGATTTAAAGCTTTCGTGACTGCAGGGATTCATCTTCTTGGTTCTTTCGGTAAAGTCACGTAGAAGGGAAATAATAAAATAATAAAAATAAAACATCATAAAATACAATTCTCACGACGTTTCAGCCACAACGCAAGCAGCCGTCCTCATTCAGACGCTGTCTTTCTGACAGACCCGTTCTTCACCTGAGGACGGCTGCTTGCGTTGTGGCCGAAACGTCGTGAGAATTGTATTTTATTATGGTTTTTTTTATTTCCCTTCTACGTAACTTTACCGAAAGAACCAAGAAGAATAGTAATACTCATATATTAATAAATACCGCATATATTTATGAAATAATTTATTCATAACCATCTGAGAGGCCACTGAGACTAAAGTTACGTTTCGAGGGAGACCTCAGCAAATAAGAACGACCAATAATACATTTCTAAATTACTAAAAGGACGATTGCTTGTGTAACAATAAAGGGTATAAGATCCAAGCTTCACATCAAAACAGAACAGATTATTAAAATAAATAGATGTATAAGTAAATAATTAAACTGAAAGTACAAGTCAGGTATAAACAACAGAGGCCAAAATTAAGAAAAGATTACAACAATTGTATGTATGGTATAGTAAAAATAAGGCAGTAATGTGCATGGAAGGTTAATACCCAGGTGCAAACATTTGACGTGCAATTTAAAAGCAACTGTGTACATTCATAATACCATACTCGTGACAATACAGTATATGACAATAGGTTTTCCCCTTTTTTTCTGGAAACAAAACAGGTGTTAGGATGTTTAAACACCAAACTGAAACCTTTTACAAGGAATCATGTCTGCATTAACCACTATACTTGTGGTCAGAATGCAAACAAAAAACAGACTCTGATAATATATGCGTTATCTTTTAAACTGATTGGTCCACACCAGAGACAGCTTTCTTTTGAGCCTAGTCTCAAAACGGTGTTAGACCAGAGGACGCCAAAAGGTGTACAGCACAAAGACAAGCAATGCAGTATATGTAAATTAGATGTCATAACATTGCACCAAAATTAATCAACACGCCCCTGGCTAAATTGCTAGAATACACTACGATCTCGTCAAATCTCAGAAGCTCGGCGGCTTTGAGCCTGGAGAGGCAAGTCAGCTGATTGGAGGCTGCTGCAGTAGACAGCAGAGGGTGGTGCATCGAAATCCCTCGTTGCACCATGTAGTATATTATATGCTCCCACAAAATGTTATTCTTGCCTTCACTAAACCACCCTGACCAGCGTGGTGAAGCATGATCAAAATAATCCCACGACCCCTACGTCATGGGGAATTTCTCATCGAGCAGTTGGCTTGACAAAAGTGATGTTCAAAAAAGAATGCACGCATAACGGTGGTGCGATTGCGAATTAAATTCACCAAAAACCATGCGCAAGCAGTACCACTGACAGCGGTTAGCTCTGGAGCGTGCACAGCGCAGGAGTGCCTGCTGTGTCGGCACATTCGACAGCATGGATGTCTTCTCGCACAATAGTTTTATTATTATTACACGCTTTCATTTAACTCACTCTGTTGTTGTCGTTGTCCTATCCTCAAATCTTGTAACTAAATTTTAACCCACTTCCCAATGTGGTATCGACTGCAAACTTGGTATACTTATGTCATACTGATGACAATACAATATTCTATCATAAAAAAATAAACAAAACATTTTAAACTATCTTTTTTTTACACGCTTTCTATGAACTCACTGTCTGTTGTTGTCGTATCCTCAAATCTTGTAACTCAATTTGAACCCACTTCCCAATGTCGTATCGACTGCAAAATTGGTATACTTATGTCATACCGATGACAATACTATATTATATCAAAATAATAAAATATAAAGTATTTTTAAACATTAATTTTTATATGTTATGTTTCGGCTTGGGTCTTATTGTCCACGCTCAACTGACGTTGGCTGTAAATCACCACAGTCCCTTACGCTATGGCAAGCTTTGCGGCCACTTCCTGGAGTCGTGGAGTTCTACCATTATGAGTAGGGTACATTTCATTAAAGCGTGTTTTTAAAAAAGTATTTTTAAATATTGACTTATTTTCCAGCGCGGTAACAAAGCTGTCGGTCGGTGGGAGATTTAAAATGTATATCACTCCGGCTGAGCGAGTTTACAGAGCGAACACCTTAACGTGAAAACCAGTTTTTTTCGAGTAGGTATTGAAGCACAACAGCATGTATTGGCTTTAGTTTACCATGCCTAGATTCCAACATCTGAATGTGGTTTGTTCCATTCGTGCGAGATATACCTTCGTGCAGCTTATGGACCGCATAACTGACGAAATGTAATGGGTTGTGGTTGCTCCCAGTCTGCTATTTCCTGATAATTACCATGCCCACAATTGCACGATGCCGTCACTTGGCAAAGTTGATATATGCAGTGCCCACTTCAACTTTGGTGAATGTTTTTCTTTCAACGTCAAGTGCTATCAATACTTAATATAGAAATGGCATGAACACACATCGCTAACATTTTCCATCAAAAGGGCAAGCTTTTGTTTGTAAAGTCACGTAGAAAGACAGCGTCCGAATTCGGACGCTGTCTTTCCGACAGCCCTTCACTTGAGGACGGCTGCTTGCGTTGTGGCCGAAACGTCGTGAGAATTGTATTTTATTATGTTTTATTTTTTATTATTTCCCTTCTACGTGACTTTACCGAAAGAACCAATAAGATGAATCCCTGCAGTCACGAAAGCTTTAAATCGAAACTTTTGTATGTCATTTTTCGCAAATGACCATAAAAATTTGCAAAGCATAATTGAAAACAGATTTTTGCAATTGTGTTTGCAAATAGTTTGAGGTTCGTGGCTTTTTAAAATAATTACATTCATCTTATTACATACATTGTTTGATTTACCGGTGCATGGAAATGGCACACATTCCAATATTTTGTTTACATTTATTTAAAAAAAAAACAATATAGGCACACATTATTTAAGTTGCAAACAGTAACCTGGGTCATGACAAAATCAATAACGTAAGGAAGACGCAACACAAGCAAATTAAGAGCTCCATTATTGAAGATCAATACCTTGACTGTGCATCCCACGTTATCCAACCACAAGTTGAAAACTTATTTGGTCAGGAAAAGAAACACTCAAATGTATGTATACAATGTTTATTTACAGAATGTCTGTATATACCTCCATCTGAAGATACCGTACAAAACAGGGAGAAATGGGCATCACGGGGGAAATGTCGAATGATTTATTTTATAAAAGATAAAGAGCCGAAGATGTTGAGCCTGCCCTTGAACAGGGGTAAGGGAGTCTACAGCAGAGAGGGTGGGTGGAAGGGAGTTCCAGGCCCAGGGGGGCAGCAGATGAAAACGAGTGACCTTCCACTAAGTGAACGTTTCAAGGGATATTCAACAGAGCAGAGGGTGCACATGGAGTTGTTGTGCATGATACAACAGGGAGTATGTAGATTACAGTGAGTTAATATAGGATCTGCAAACAGTATGACCTTGAAGTTGATCTGGGATTGGATTGGGAGCTAGTGGAGAGAGGAGTAGTCTGTTGCAGGCCTTTATTATTGGAGAGTAAAAATACATAGACGTTAGTGGTTGGTGATTTGTCATGGTATGTAAACAGACTGTTTCCTTGACGCGTTATATATGCACCCTCTTCTTATATCTGTATCGATCCTCAGAAATAGACGATATTGCCGCTTCAGTCTGGGTTGCCTAGTTTCTGCTTCCTGATTCCGAATTCAGCCCTACGTTCTGAAAGACAATTAGTTTGCTACTCGTTTAAATATCAATACTCGTCAAAATGTAGAATAAGTCTGCCTCATATTTGGATCGTGGTGAGTAGGGGTTTTGTAACACTGACCGCGCCTCTAAATCACTTAAGAAAAGCAACTTGTACTTATTGATCCACAACCAATCTCATCCATCACATGCAGTAATAATGACCTGTGCCATCACATGCAGCAATATTGTTATATCTAC